CCCCCGCGCGCGGCTCCCCATCGCGGGGCTCTGTCTCTGTCCCGGGAGCTCACGGGGGCCGCGCGCTGTCCCCGCAGATGCCACCGGCAAGTACTGGATGGTGGGAAGCGAGTCGTCCGTGACCAGCAGCAGCGATTCGCCCGTGGACTTCTTTTTCGAGTTCTGCGACTATAACAAAGTGGCCATCAAGATCAACGGCAAATACCTGAAGGGCGACCACGCCGGCGTCCTCAAGGCCTCGGCCGACGCCATCGACGCCTCCACCCTCTGGGAATATTAATGCACTTTAGCGTTCCTCCCATTGCCAACTCTCCTTCCCCTCCCCATCTTTCTTGGTTCCTCCTCTCTGTACCCGGATTCCAGCCCGGCTTGTCCTTCCCTCCTGCCGCGGAGCCGGCGCTGCTGCAGGTGGGTCCCCCCGAGCTCACTGAGAACTGGAAACGCTGACGCGGAGCACGCGGTGCAGCCTGTAGGTTTGTAGAGGGGTCTGTCCCCTGCCTCCTTCCCGAGCGTCGCTGCGTAGTGTTTTTCCCCCTCCCCTGTATTGCAAAAGGGAACGCGGTCACTTCTCGGCTGCCTTCTCGGCCGCCAAGCGTCGAGCGTCCCGGTATGCGAGACCCGGCCTCCCCGACCCGCTCCTGCTGCCCGGGGAAGGCAGCCCCTCACCCCTCTTGGCTTTGCAGATCTTCCCGTCCCCACCGAGGTGACCCCACATATCAAGGTGTCCCCAGGATGGGGCTGGCACACGCTGGCACCATCCTATTCATAGGGCCAGTCGGTGTCTCATTCATCTCCAGGAGCCCCACGCTCCTTTTGAGCCATCTCGTCCCTCTGCCCCATCCGCGCGTCCTGCTGCTGCCGGAGCATCTCAGACCCCGTCCAGGGGTCCCGGTAGAGCCCAACGTGGTGGCCCCTGTCCCCAGGGCTCGTCCACCCCAAGGGAGCGGAGCTGCCTGGGGCAGCCACGGGCAGCGCACGCGGGGCCGGCGGCCGTAACCTCCCCTGGGCAGCACCTGGAAGCAAAAACTGCAGATTTCGGTTTACAGGATAGAAAACTTCGTAGCAAAACTTTGCACAGTGGTGTTTGCTCAGTGCTTTTTTTCTCCCCCCCTTTTCCTCTTCCTCTCAAAACCTACTGGAACGGTGGTCGCGGAGCACCCGGCACCGCGTTGCCCTTTGCTCCCACAGGGCTCGGCCGCCCGGGACGGGGCGGCTGCTTCGGCAGCATCATCTCATCCGTACTGGAAGCAGAAAAGAAAGAAATGACCAAAACAGTATTTTTGTTAGTCCTCGCTTTCTGCGTGCTCCCCATGGCGCTGTGTTTCCCGCTGTTGTGTGTGATGGGTCGCGTGAGACGCCGGGCGCTGCTGGCGCCTTCTCCAGGGCGTGGAAAGGCACTTTATCCCTCGGGGCCTTCCCGGCGCGGGGACATTCGCTCCCCGCGGCACCCGGGGCTTCCCCCTGACCCCCGCGGGGGCTCCTAAGCCTTAACGCCGCCGCGGGGACGGTGCTACCCCCGGGGCACGGCCGCGACTCGCACGGGTCCCCCCGCTCACAACATC